TTTCTCAATTATATTTTGATCAAAATGGCGTCATTTTCTCAAAACTTTCGCTTTTTATTCCAGCCGCTATAGCGTCACATTCTCACGGAGTTTGAGTGTGAGCAGCGTTAGTTCGCGCTAACAATGTTAGCGCGAACGAGCAATCCACTGTTTTATTTTTATTTATTTTTTTGTATTAAAGGGCTCTAATCAAAACTACTAGTCTAATGGAAAGTTCTTTTTTTTGGAGCCCTCCCCCTAAGCGGTAAATTTGATGCTCGCCGATAGTCTCCGGAAGTAAAATGTTACAATTTCCCAAATCGTGTTCGCGCTTACAACCTCGCGCAAAGTACGTCCATCAACCCTGAATTTGTTGACGTTTTGCGAGCAAACCTAATGCTAAGCGCTTCTTCTTCTTCTTTTTTAATTTGCTTGGCACAGCAATTGCTGGCATCGATTTGAACACGTTGGTAGAACCCTCACTATATATGTGTGCATAGAAACTGTATAATGCGTAGAGTTTTTTTGTTTTTTTTTAATGATCTGAGCTTTTGTTTTTATACGAAAGGTGAGAAACATTTATGACGGAGAGAGTTGATTTGTGACAGGGGTTAAGATGGCCGTTGCCACAAGACCGTGGTGCTCGAGGATCACTTAAACACCGGAATGTTCTCTACAGGAAGTCACGTCAACAAGGTGATGAAGACAACGACCCGTCAGCTATACAAAAACCGGATTATTCTAGAAAGTGCACGGCGCCGTCGAGACACGTAGAGCAGACTGTCATGTCGATTAGATAGCGCGTCTGTAGTCCCTGACGGGAGCACAACGCACTCGCACACACTCGGCGAGTATCTGCGTAACCTACGGTGACCGAAAAAGAGGAAGGAAAGAACTCCGTCGAGAGTAAACGTGACGTAGGTGACGGATGGACGAGGCCATGTTTACGTGAGAGATTACCGGGAAGACGGCCGTCGCTCCAAAAGAAAGCCGATTGATTGATTATGGGTTGAACGATCGAGCAGGTCACTCGAAGCCTCCGAGCATCATACAGAAAGCCGGAAGCTCGCGGAGCCTTTCTGTTTTGACTCCCTCACCCCCGGGGAGCGCATAACGTTCACGTTTAACGGAGGGTGGGACGTTTTAGAGGGCAGCAGCGCGCTGCCATGTTGTGAAGTGTAGATGGCGCAGGCTGCCACTTGTTATAAAGGGTACACAGCCATTAGTATCCATCCATCCATCCATCCATTGTATAGACCGTATAGACTAATAGAGGCACTGCTTAGGGGAAATGTTAGGTACGTAGGCCGCGTCTGCCAACTGCTAACCCGGGGTCTGGAACGTGCGCCATATTTAGTGTATGTATACCCCAACTTCTGCAATACTGACAAAGACAATAGTGCGAGATTGTCACTTTGCCAAACATTTCACCGAGCTATACATCTTTTGCACATGACGTCACGCTAGGAAAGGACGGGACCCTGCACCATGCTGGTGGCGGACTTCACACGGCGTGGATGTGCATATCGAAGCGTAGGATGCCGCTAACTGCCCGGACATGCGCTGACATGCACCACATTTTCAACAAAGGTACCTAGCTGTGTTACATGTGAGCTTGGAAAAACGTGCCGAGCTTACGATGATGGCGTTCAGCCAGTACGTGCGTTCGGCATTGGTGCGATTGCGCTACGAGCAGAATTAGTTTCAATATGCCGCCGACGAAGTTTTAAAGCAAAGCACTGTCGTGCCGCCCCAAAAAAATTAATAATAACAAATAAAAAAGCTTAATTGCGTGCCTTAAAATCTGATGAACGCCTCTAGGAGACGCTTGTAGAAAAAAATTTTTACGATTTTGCGAAATGCTGGTAAAAAACGCAAGGTTCTCGTCATAATCTAAACTCTGAGACAAGGATACATCAAATAACGGACGAGACAACTCTCCTTGTGGCGGGGTTTATATTATAACGTTTCCTAACCGGCTGGCCCGCATACTTTCGCTCCTTGCAAAGGTTACCGTCTCGCGGACGGCACAAACCGATGCCCCGGCGGCGGCACGTCTCGGCGAGCTTGCACACGGGGGCCACCGCCGACCGATCGCCGTCTGGTCGGGCTCACGACGCGACACTCGCCCGTACTCGGCTGGGAGCCCCGATGGTGCGCTCGAAGCCTGGAAACGGCGTGATGTAGCGAAAGGCAAAGGGAATCTACACCACGAAAAGGCAAAAGCCGACGCAAAGGCGTGCGCGAACGTAAACAACGGTAGAAAACTGCTGTCGCTCGCCGCTATGAAATGCGTCCCGCAGACTCGGTAACCCGCGGCCGCCCATCCCTTTCCTGCCGCTCGCACTTTCTCTAAGTTGCCGGCTACTCTGTCTCGCGGGGCATGCCGAGGAAACGATCGTCGGTATACGTAGTAATTGCTACAGCCAAGCGCGGCGCAGTTCACCATTGTTCTCGCTGCGAAGGGCTGTCGAGTCAACCCAACACCACCTAGACAGAAGGCCTCCACACGCGTCATCATAGTCGGATCGATCGAGGCAAGAGATTGGGCACGAGTGCTGCGTCAGTGTTCGGCTGCGGCTCGTGGCCAATCAGCGCGTCGAAGGTCGGACTCGGGTCCAATAGCCGACCGAGCGCGATCCGACTGTGATGACGTTTCATAGAGGAAGAGGAAACCATGCGGAGGCCTTCTGTCTAGGTGGTGTTGGTCAACCCCCAGCATGGTGGATACAACGGTGTTCGACATCATCATGTGAGGCATGCATAGGCTCACGCGCCTGCGCCTTTGTCTGCGCGGTAGGAATTTGGGAAATTGAATAACCGGTAATTACATTACCTCAAGGTGGTATACGCTTGCACAGCAGCGCTGTCTGAATGTTCTTCGTCTTGTACGGTGTGCACGTTTGTTTATATGTATATTTTACTCTGGAAAATGTTAAACCCCACGAAATCTCATGGACAACGCAAGAAGCGCAGCAGGGTGTGTCCCGAGCATCTAATCATCATCCCACATCCAATGGACTCGCGGCATTCGCCGATGAGAACGTCCGAGAACCAATCGCGAAGCGAGTACATAATTATAAGCCACGCCCCGCGATTCTTAACCTGTCAATCACTATAGGGGCTATTCACTGGCGGCCATATAGCTTTGACGCGCGGCTGCCGTGCGCGTGCTGACAGCGAGCTTCCACAGTTCGCCCTTGTAATTCTGCACCATCGAGATTGCCGGACTCAGCAGGCTCGTTCTGAGCGTGCGCTCTAAACAGCACACTCCAATATGGCGTCCAGTGAATGCCCTCTGTGATCATAATGAGGAGTCTTTCTACGCGGTCGATAAACCATGCAGAGACGACAAGCTCTTGCGTGTCTCTGTGCTTTTGGAGGAGCGCGTACCCTATCAGCACTAAGCCGCGAAGGGGCTGAGCCGTCAGGCAATACACCTCCAATTTTGTACCTAAAACTCTCCACCATATATATATATATATATATATATATATATATATATATATATATATATATATATATATATATATATATATATATATTTTTTTTTTTTTTTTTTTTTTTTTGCTAGAAAACAGTATTTGATTGGGGTGGACGAACTGCCTTTGTAATCTGCTCACCCTTCGAACAGCGAGTAGAGAGACAAGAGCAGCTTTACGTCTCTCAACGAATCCTTTCAACCAGAATTCGGTGCCCTGACGTCCGGGCGCACTCTCCCCCTCTCCCTCGATTTCTCGCCGTATAGTTTATACGACAAAGATCGAGTCAGCGATGCCGCGTCATCGTACTACTGCCAATAGTATATGAGCAGGTAACCACTTTTTAACAATACCCATCACAACCGAAAGTAAACGTGAACGTAAATGCCGAATTTAGAAGGCGTACGTCGGTACTATTCGGGAGAGGGGAAGGCAGGGGGGGGGGGGGCGATATTTTACTTTCTCCTCCTATTGTTTAAACTAAAATTTTGACATATCGGTAGGATTCCGTGTTTTCGGAGTTAATCTCTCATGAAATTCGGAAGATGTTTTTCGGAACTTAGGTATTTTTCGCCGAAAATTCGGGGTTTATCGGAGTTTATTTTTGTTAGATTCCCAATTCTTTAAGATTTAAAGTTTATGTAGTGCTTTAAATTAAAAAAAAAATTGGGAACACAATTGTCAGTAGTTTGAGATTTCAAAAACAAAATAAATGAAGTCCAGGTACCATGATCCGTCGCCCTGGAAGATCCTTGACGCGCTAAAAGGCAATTGCCAGTCGTTCGAGATTTCAAAGTAAACTGGAGTTGAATCTCCTCAGGACCACTGACCCTGTGCTCTCCATACAGTTGATTTCTAAAACACCGCCTTTTTTGGGGGGACTTTTATTTGGTCGTTTTGACCTCTAAATTTTGAGTTTTTCGGATAAATCTGAGTTGACGTACAATTTACTGACGAGTGTTTTTCGGATTTATCAGAAAACACAGAACCCTACAAATCGATGATGGCACCTTCCCCACCCTCTGTTCCGCCGCCGCTGGCTACATTTACAACAAATGTCACAGACAACGAGAATTGCACGGGCACTGCTAACGTCTTCAGAAACGCCACAGAAAGTTGACCCCAAGTGTAGACAAAATTATCGGGAAAATTTAACACAAACACACACACACACACGCACACGCACACGCACACGCACACACGCACAGACACGCACTTAAACAAGCGCTTTTTTGAGGGATAAGTTGTGTTGACACAGTTTTCTCACAGTATACCCAAGGATGTGTGCAGTTAAATGTCGCAGTCACGTGGTAATTTGCGCGGTGCGCTAAATGCAATCTCGTGAATAAACGAATGGACAAATCCCGCCTTCATCCGGGCTCACCCGTCGAACGTTCCACGAGTATTTCTTGAAACAAAAATCGCCGACTGTTACAAAAGCGCGGCACACAAACACGTAAACAAGACTAACTTACTCGCGGAGTAAAAACACTTAAAATCCCTTAGATAATTTAGAGGAAGGAGAAAAACAAAACTTACCACCAGGAAGCATACTGTGGCAAGGACCGTGAGTAACAGGACACCGTCGGCCATCCAGTTCGATCGCGTCTTTACCATAACGAAGTCCCACGAAATCGCAAGATTTTTTTTTCTTTTCTTCTTCAATATAAAATCTTTTAGCGAAATCACTAAAAACAACAGGCGCTGGTCAAACCTGTCTTCACATCACTCGTTTTTGGCTGGCCGAATTCGCACCAGAAGCTCGGTTGCCCCCGCCGCGGACCCGAAACCGATAAACCGTCACTATCCTCAAAACTAACATCACGAAAATAAATTTAAGGAGCAACCCCAAGGATCGTATAAAGTTCCCGTACGAAATAACACACACACGCACACACGCACAAACGGTGGAAGGTTCTAAGGGCTTCAAGAGACTTGGAGAGAGGACACTTGACGGGAAGTGACTGACGCGGGTTCTGCGAGCGCGCACTGACTGATTCTGACGGTAGACTTCTTTTTTCGCGCGGAGAAATCCTGCGAAGCTCCCCGGACCGGCGCGTCGGACTGCGAGAGATGCCCAGCGCACCGCTTTTTTTGCCGGCCGGCTGACTTGCCGCCGAGGCGTTTTGCTCTGCCTTTTTGGCATCTTGCCCTTTCCGAAAGGAGAGGGAGTTGGGGCTGGTGCGCCGGGAGTCCGATAGATGGGGCTACCGGGTGCGGTGTCTCGTTCGCGTGTATGGTTGTTAAAAACGTTAAAAACTCTACAAAAAAACAACAACAAAAAAGCGTTTTTACTGTTTTTAACGAAGCGAACTTAAATGCGGTATGTTTGTTAAAAACGTTTAAAACTCTACAAAAAAAAAAGCGTTTTTACTGTTTTTAACGAAGCGAACTTAAATGCGGCACAATAGAACTTTCACAACACACACACGCACCGGGCACAAACACAATACACGAGTGACAGTGAGTGGGCGTTTTTGCTGCTTCTATCGCGTGTTTTTATACGTGCTATATAAAAAAGTAAAAAAAAATAGAAAGATAAAAACATGTTTTTTTGTTGTTTTTTTATAAAAAAAATACACGTCTCCTTCCGCCTGTGAATCAGTGATTTGAATAAAGAGGATTGTTTTAACTCACGTTACGCAGCAAAGTACAACACAACAAAGTAATTAGATCTTCAAAGCACGGTTATCGAAAGTGATGGTTTACGCAATTATTTATTTATTTATTTTTCTTTTTATTTATTTTATCATACTACTACCCCGACACAAGGGTGCCTGAAAGGGGGGGGGGGGGTGTACAAAATATAAAATAACATCATATAAATTAACACGTCTTAATCACATTTGCAGAAATTAACATAGCGATATATGTACAGAAAAAAAAAAAAGCATGCCATGGGCCGGCCAGCTGAAAAAGATATATGTTGTTGTTACCCGAGCAACAACATATATTTTTGTTACTTGACTGGTTCTCCAGAGACTAACTTGCCGGAAAGTAGTGGCAGATACGGAAGTTTCTGAAAAAATAATGGTGACAAAAAAAATGAAGTTTTAGTTTTAAAGAACCGTCAAATTGGTTAAATTTCAGACCAGAATGTAGAAGCAAGAAATGACACGGCATCCACATATTTTACTGCGCATACTCCTAATCAACAAACTGGAGCATGGACTACTTCTACCCTTCAAGCCCAAACGGGCGCTACTTCTATTTCTTTATGATATTCCGAGAAGAGCATCTAGTAACAGGACAGAGATTGACACGTCTAAACATTTGTCAAAAAAAATATAACAGCCGATCGTAAATACCACTCGTGATAAAATAAATACTAAAAGGTAGAATTCTTACACAAACACTCACCAACTTTTTTTCCGACATTTTATTTTGGAGGAGTGATTTTCTCCTTAGCACTGTGCTGCGCTTGTCGTTTCACTGCAGTACACCGGTACACGGGGAGAAGCGAACTCAACGGAGCTAACTAAGCCATTAACCGGGGTCGTGCACTGCTTATACATCATACAAAAGATCCGTGCTTCGAATGCCGCATGAAGATGAGTTCGAGGAGAAAACTTGAAACCCGGTATTCGAACCCCGGATATTACGGTGACACGTGTTTGTAGACTGCCTTTTTGTTAGCGAGCCTCAGTTATTGTATTAAGGAGATGAAATTAAGTTTTGGGCTCAATGTCGGAGCAAGTTTCGTACATTTTTACATTTTTACAAAATGCCGCGAGATCTAGCAGGGCAACGAGTTTGGCATGAATATGGCGCCGCTATCACATCACTATGCATGGTGATGTTGTAGAGGAGGGTAGCTTGCAATTAATAAACAACATAATAGAACTCCTCGAAACGATTATTTAATGTTTTTTTGAAAAAAATCTAAACGATCGATCCTTAAATAATGCATTCTCCGTGCATCGTCATACATTGTAGAAAAATAATCGCTGCTTTTTTTTTTTTTTTTTTTTTTTTTGAGCGTGCATTTTATTTTGTGAAATTTCAAGGTGTAGCTTCCTTCCTGTAACACATTTAACCAACACTATTGACATTTCCGGCGGCGGACTCTGACGCAGACAGCCGAATTAACTGAGGGCTGTTCTTTGGACGCCGTCTCCTGATAGACACATTAAGCACACAACAGAACTCAGCCAAAAGCAGACGACACCATCGCCGGTCTACTGTGCCTATCGGAAAATGGCATCGCAATCATGACTCTCGGTTAACTCGGTAGTCAGTGCGCTGAAAATGTCGAGCGTAAAGGTTTATACACACGATACATTTCTTCAGCGCACAACGGTTTAGCGAAACTGAGATTTCGCAAAATCGGCCTGCTCACACGTAGAGCTTGACGCAGGAAACCTGCGACGTATTAACTCACGAGAATTTCGCCAAGCCTTCTCATCTGCACAGGGGATATATACCGAGCATTTCGCATCAAAATGACACGAAGCACGTTCAGTGTAAAGAGACCGTCTGCTTTATTATTACCCCTCGATAAACTTCGTCGGATTCGGCTCGCTCGGTTTACTAAGCCTACCAAACCGGAGAAGGACCGCGAACGTCAAAAAAGAGGCGGACGACCGCTGCCAATGGGGAGCGAACTTTGTGTAATCGTTTGCAATTTGTTTTCCCACGTTTGGAAATTTTATAAGATAAAAAAGCACCACTAAAGCCGCACTCCCACTGCCAGCACATCACACAAAGAACCGTCCGCAGACAGCGTCTAAAGCTCGTTTCTTGCTTGTATAACGGCGCTGTCAGATCGCGACATATACGCGTTCTAATAAACGACTCTCCCGAAAATCCTGTGTATTGTTTGGTGTGTAATAGGCGGAAACAAGGGAAGGTGTACCTACAGCCAGTGTGCTGGTGCTGGAACGATTGGGCGAGATGTTTCATGTGTTAAAGAAAAACACAAAGACGTGTGTGTTTTTTTGTTTTTTTGTTTTTTTATGAAACGCTTTTTTAGAAGGGGGCGCCCGTGGTGACCGCGTTGAAAAAGCGAGAGTATGTGCGCGAGCTGTTCTGTAGATGCCCGGAGAGACGCGAGAACGTAACCGGGGCGGCGGCGGTGGGGAGGCGAGGGATCGTGTCCGCACAGCCAAGCACAGCGCGACCACGTGGGTATTTCTCAACGGCTGCTGCCGGAAAAGGAAGAGTGGGGGGAGGGTAGGAGGAAGGGAGAGCGTTGCCGGAGCAAGAACAGCGGCGGCCTACAGAGTGGGAAAGGGGAGCGAACCGAAAGAGAGCCATGCCGTGTGTGAGGAACGACGGGGAGAGGGAGAGCAGTGCCTCTAGAGTGAAGTTTTGCGGTCGCATATGAGCATTTTCGCCAGGAAGCAAGCTACCGTTGTAAAAAAATAGAGGAGTGCTACGTGGCAGCGCCCAACCACAGCTGTCGCAAAGTGCACGTGTACGATATTCCCGAGCTACACTTTTTGTTCCTGCTGCTATTCCGTTCACTTTACTCATCCAATAACAGGAAACAAAAAGTGAAGGTTGGTTGTTGCATACGCATCGAATCAAACAGGGACCAATCGCACGCACCCTGTCTTCCAACTTCTTCCTCTTGAACCTATCAAAATAGTCAAATCTCGATTCGATGATGCGCTGCGGTCGTAACCATGAAAACGCATCCATAGAAGGCAAGGAAGCTGGATTGGAGCCCTGAGTCACTCTGCTCGGGTAGCCCGCTGCCGTTGTTCGCTGCGTCGGTTTTGAAAGTGAAAACACTGTAGTGAAAGGGAGGCGCGCGTCGTCGAAACATTGCGCGTTGTCACGGCATGACTACGTCACACATGCATCGTCTCATCGTCACAGACAACCCTGTGAACAACTTCGTTTTTTTCAACGGTGCGTCATCGCACTCAAATGGCGCCCACTCACTAATTTGGCCCGAGCCCGACAGGGAGCGTCTTTCGACGTGTTGGCTGGACCCGACTTCCAGCCGAACGTTGTCGCATCGCTCGCGTCCAATGTGCTTCTGCGCTCGATCTCATTGGGACGACATCAAAATTTGAATGCACAGGTTTTGATCATTTTAAGTTCGGTTTTGGCAGACCCATTCTCTAGACCAACGTTGCTCTAGACGGTAATAGAGCCACTAAATGAGCTACGCTTAGAGTATCGGCCAGGGTGTAAGACAGACAGGTGGGGAAACGGCCCATAGAAACCTACCGCAGCGCCGTGACCGGATTGTGTACTCGTCTGCTTGCGGCTACCCCCTATTTGCGACAGATGGCGCTGCGGCGAGAAGAAAAAAAAATGGAATCGAATTTGCATGGAACTTTATGGGAGAATGCGCAAAATAAACTGAGAGCACGACAGTCCTCCATTGAAAATCCACGAAAAGCTTCTCCGTCAGTTTAACCGGTCGCCAGCGTTCGCCCACCTCGAGTGAGAGTTCGCGGTGCTCCACATAGATGGCGCCACAGAAAAAGAGAAAACCGAGGGGGACACAATCCGGTCGCTCTGGTCGCTCATTAGGCTCTCGTTTCACCACCTGTCTATCTTACACCCTGGTATCGGCACTCTGTTCCCCGACATTGTTTTGGGCGCCGCCATTTTGGTGCTTGAACAGAGAAGACACAGCTGCATGCCGTTCGTCATGATTTAAAAGTGCGACTTCCTCAGCATTAGATTCGGTGTTAGGACGCTCATGTAATATTGCTTTGCTCTGTCGCGAACTGTTTAAACATTTATGGAGGACGGAAAAGTATTTCCCGTGATTTCAGATAAAGCTTCAGATAACTGGCAACCCTGATATTAAGCCGCAATATGGACAAGTGCCGTTCCTCTGAAGAGTAGCTTATTTAGTGGCACTATTATCGTTTTGATAGCACGCTAAATGTAATGCACTATGTGTTTTTTTTTTTTTAATTAGCGCTGATGAGCAGAGGCTTAAAGATGCTTATAAACCGTTAAACTTGAGGAAGAAAACGAGAAAGGACGGACAAACACAAACTTCCAACTGGTAACAACGTTTTCTTCCTCAAGTTTAACTATCCATACCAACCCGCTTATAAACCGTTTCTTTGTTTACCACATCACAGCCCACTCTGATATGATTTTTTGTCGTTTCGAATGTGAGCAAAGCACCCGCCCTACGCACGAACACCGAGGATTGGCACCAGCCGCAAGCTTTTTGTTTACAAAATGCTGGACTGTAAAGATCGCATTCCGCAGCATGCGATCTTCCCAGCTCAGCACGAAAGTGTTCGTCGATTCCAAAAGCGAGCAAAGCACGCGCCGTACGTACAAGCGCTGAAAATGCCACCAAAGTCAGAAGCCATTTTCTACCTACGACCGTGACTCATGCATAATCTGACGCTAGTCATTATACAGGTCCGCATCTAAAGGCTGAACTGAGCGGGGCAAGGATTAACATCAAAAGTGCTCTGCAAAAATCGACTTCAACACGCCGCTGCGTATTCGTCGGAAACCAAATTCCATACGACAAACACGCGATGAGCGCCGCCAAAGCCAGTATACATGATGGTAAGGCGTCGATTGCGTGAGCAACTTCATCTGCACACAAATGACGCACTGGGAAACACGGAAAACTCGAGTGCAAACCAACGCACAACAACATCACCAAATAGGGTGTTTACAAAATGCGTTTGAATGGTTCGAACGTGGTTCAACTTCAAAGCCAGTCGGAAATCGGATCCATTTTTTTACTATTGCTCGTCCTCCGCGTCGGCCGTTGGCCCCTGGTAGTGGCGGACGCCTGGCGAACAAAATCGAGCTCACCTACATTGGCGGTGAAGAGCCCGCGTCCCGAGCTCACCCCGAACGCCCGACACGCATGCACAGCTGCGAGCACGCAACTTGTTCGCTCCGGAAACATTCTGCGCCATATGCGAGGAAAAGGCTACAAATAAATAGCGGGTGAATCGTGTTTCACACTGCGCGTGCGCAGAGCACAAAATTGCCGTCTTGGATTGGCTCGTGGCAACGACGTGAGCGTGCAGCGTGGAGCAGGCAACTCTAACGCATACGCATATAAAACTATAGTAACGTACAATCACATGCCGGCTGCAGCACTACATTGAGACAGTGAATAGTGTTGTTTGTATTCAGAAATTACTATTGGCGAGCCATGATAGCGAGCAGTTCCGATGTGCCCGCTGAGCAGGAGAACAGGGGGACCCTCACTAGACCGCTTCCCGTTTCCGCCGCAAGAGGGCGAGCAACGAACTGGAGACGCGGTTAGGGTTCGACACAATTTCATTAACGGAATACATAGCCTCCGTAGAACACAAGCGACGTAATCGTATTTCGATGAAATCTGCCGGCGAAGTACCGCAAAAACAACAAACCATTTCCGGATTTATTATTATTTTTTTTATTAGGTTTTAGCAGAGTTATACGGCGCCAGCTTTCTGAGTCTAACGCTCCCGCACGTGCGAAAACAAACGTTTGATAGTGAGTCATACGACAGATGTGGTTGCCCTCGTGTCCCCCTTCCCTCGATCCCGCTCTCTTTTACTTGTTCAAAAATCAGGTGGAGTCTCGCTCAAGCAAAGCGGACAGGAGTCTCGTTCAAGCAAAGAGAGCCTAGACTTGGGAGAGGAAGCAACCGAAACCACGAATCAACGCCCTCTCCTCCTCGCCGCTTGTGTGGACCTCTACGAACCACGTGACCGCCATCGGGCAGTTGGCAACATTCTGGAGCCTCGATAAAGCGGAGCCACGCGCTCGCAGGCATTCGAAACCCTGTCGCAGGGAGAGTCAGCTCTAATAACCGACGCACTCGAGATGCTTCAGACCTGAGTCGGGTAGTCTGCCATTGTACCCTACCCCCCGAAAAACGAACAAGATGGCTGGCTCGGCTTCGGAAGCGGTGCCCACTAGTGCACAGACGTCTTCGCACTTCGGCATGCCGCTCGCGGTGATGCTGGCCCCGTGGGTCTTGGCTTCGATAGCTTGCGTCTACGTCGTTCCTCGTGTCCTCTGCTGGTTCAGGACATGGAGGACCCTGAGGTCTATGCCCGGCCCTTGGGACCTTCTGCCCTTCTGGTACTTGCTTCTCTGCTTCAGGAATGCTGTCAAAGTGAAAAAACGTATGGGGGCCTCCGAAAGTAAGTTTTATTTATACATTTTTTTTCGTCGTTTCAATTTTTTTTTTTTTTTTTAGGTTCTTAAACGATTTTTTTGCTATCAATATCAGTTCTGATGAGTTTTTTTTTTTTTTTTTTTTTTTTTTTTTTGGGGGGGGGGGGGGTTGCAAAGGGTTAGTGGAATTAACCGACCAGTCCCTTAAAATTTCTTCTGATAAAAATATATAAAATATTTGTTCTTAGTGAATGCTAAATATTTGCCATACAAATTTCAAGTATTTTTTTATAGATATTCAGCATTCACCAACAAATGAAATATTTAATAAATTCAAGCTCAATCCTACTTAGAGAGAGAAAAAAGTTAGTATTTATAAAAAGAAAGTATATGCAGCGAGCTCAGAAGCTTCCTAAACTAAACTTTGTCTCAGGGTTTAGTTTATGTTGCTTAATCTACTCTTTTAAATAATTTAAAACAATTGGAACGGTTTCATCATTTGTACTCCCTAAAAATATCCAGTGCGTCTACTTTCTCGCAAAGCCGTTTGGAGAACCAATCACCGCAACGTACAAAGGGCGAATTTCGATGCTGAATATATGTTAGGTTATGTAGCCAAAAACCGCGTGTAGATTTTCACCTTCTCTGCTGCGATTTTTTAATTATTATTATTAATATTATTATTATTATTAATATTACTTCCCCAGGGCTATTCAACCAGATGCGTGAACTATGCCAAGACTATCCGGACAAAACCTTCAAGGTGTACGCCGGAGTGACGCCCCTCGTATTCATTAATACTCCGGATGCAGCCCAGGTGCAGTACACATTCATTATTACTAGGCCTTTACCCAGTAAGCCAGTGTGCATTACTTCCCTCTGTCGCCATTTTCGGAGGGCACCGTCTCGCGCGAATAAGTTGTTTTGCTCTTCATTTGTAGTTCTCAGAGAAGTCCCCAAACGGTGCTTCGTTATTGGTTAATAGATGCTCTGGCTAGGTGGCTCAAGCCGCCGCCCGGTCAGAAGGGTTCAGCCGTAATCATCCATCTAGTTTCGTTATAGCTGGTTGCAGGTTTAGAAGGGCAGTACAAGACCCTCACACAAACCTCTCTGCTCGCAATGAATGCTGGTTTTCTCCTTTTCATACGCCTCCTCTCCAGCGTCCGCTCTGTTAAAGTGGAAACGGTAGAGAGGGCTATGCGGACCGCAAGTTCGTCTGCGTCTTCTGCAGGGGTTGTGGTGACGTCATAACGCCGCCGAGCCCTGGTTGGCTCTGATTAAAGGACAGTCGGTAGACCTCAAGGCAGCTTGTTTTGAGGTCTTGAGGTTTTGAGGATGGTGGGGTAGACCTCAAGCTGCCTTGAGGTCTACCCACCATCCTTCAATAAGAGCCCAATCAGAGCTCGGCATTCTGACGTCACCACAACCCTTTCAAAAGAAGCAGACGAACTTGGGCTCTGCATAGTAGGAGTACCTTGTCCTGCTATCCTTTACCCGTGACACACTGTAGTGAGCGAACCTATATATTGGCATTGGTATATATTTATTGTGTTTTACTGTTGGGCTTGTTGGTAAAAACATTTCATAAAAGAGCAAAAACAAATAAAAGGCATTACACAAGGCTAGGAAAAGGGGGGGTCCAACTCACGTACAAGTTTGCGACACCGACGATGGTGAAGAAATAGAGGCCGGGCTTGAAGAAACGAAAAAGATCCATCAGAAACAAACAAAAAAGGCCCAGTGACTCGCGATTTTTACGCTGCTTGATTTGTCCAATCGTAGTCATGTTAACGTAAACATATTCCTGTACGGAGTGAAACTGAGAGAGAGGAGGAGAGAAGTGCGTGCGGCGACGTCGGAGCGCTGAGCTCTGATTGGAAGGATTGGTGGGTATGCACAAAGGCCTTTGTTCTCTCTACCCAGCGTCTCCCTCCAAACGGAGCCAAAGAAGAGCACCGTCCGCTCCTTTCGTAGTGTCTCGCGTTCGAACGCTGGACACCGGCGTTCGAACGTCGAAGGTGTTCGAACAGTGAGTAGAGAGGCAAAGGCAGCCCATCCTTTGCACTATACCCACTATACCTTCTCATAAGAGCTCGGCCCTCTAGTCTTCCTCGCACGCTTTCATGTCCTCCTCTCTCTCGGGTTTTCTTCTTATTCGGTATTCGAAGCTTCGGGGAAAATTGTGTCAGCTCGGAAAATACTTCCACGGTTATAACTTAATAAAAGCATCTTCTTCTTTTTTTTTTCTTCTTTCAGACGCTTCTAACAAGCGCCAGAAACCATAAAAAGCCATTTGCCTACCACTTTACCGACTCCTGGTTGGGGCCATCCAACCTTCTTGTTTCGTAAGTACAAATATAGAAGGGCTCATAGGTTTTGGACAGACGAAAAGTCATGTCTTGATATATATATATAATATATATATATATATATATATATATATATATATATATATATATATATATATATATATATATATATTGAGACGAAGACCAAGAGTCGACGACCGTTTTTATGTCCGCACTTTTTTAAGCATTGAGCGCGCCTCCACCCGCGCCTCCAGTTCCCGCGCACGCGGGCCTCGTCTTCCTCGGCCAACATGCTGAAAGACGATGAATGGGACATCGTGAGGTATACACGTCACAATATATATATATATATATATATATATATATATATATATATATATATATATATATATATATATATATATATAACTAAAGCGAGAGGAGGTGGTTAGAGCGCGGGGACGTCTGAACGCCGAACTCCGATTGAAAGGATGAATGGAACGCGAAGGGTATACCTGCCTTTGTTTCTTCTACCCACCATCTCCTTCCACTCGGTTAGTTTTGGATCACGTGGTTATCAAACCAGAATCCTCGAACATCCTTAGTGAGCTTCGAGCCCAATAACGAAGGACAATCCACAAGGATTCGAAAATTCGAAAAAGGTTAAAACAGCGCAAAAAAACGACGGACAGGGTAAAGAAGGACACGGACAGAGCGCTGCGCTCTGTCCGTGTCCTTCTTTATTCTGTCCGTCGTTTTTTGCGCTGTTTTAACCTTTTAGGTATGTCATACCAACTCGCCCAGGCTTCAACTTTAGCAGCTTTATTTTCGAGCATGATCCATCTTCGTAAACGTTCAGCTGAACAAATGCATTTTGCCGCATAACTGCAAGTCAGTTCCCACAGCAGTCCTTGATGAAAGTAGTCACATCAAGAAAAAACGGGTTTCTTGCGCACTACTCATGCGCTGTGCGAAGTAGTTCTAGACAGATTTGGTTGTCGAAGCGAGAAACGATGCTTTAGGCGTTTGAAATGTGTACGTCTTGATTGAATAACGTAGAGATAATCTAAGCCGCACCTGCATATATCTTAATTCAACCTGTGAAGAGGAATATCAGTAGAACTCCGCGGGGCTTTGCACACGAGCCAGGTTACAGCCGCCGTTGATAACCTTCTCTTGCCTTACCAGGATACCAAGAGTGGGCTTTCACGAGCCTCGACAAGGGCCAATGCTGGAGAGACGGACGTTGTCGAATCTATAGGAGGTATTCACTGGACGCCATATTTGAGGGCGATGTTTAGAGCGCATGCTCAGAACGAGCTCACATTAATAGCCTGCTAAGACCGGCGACCTTGGTGGTGCTAAATGCACGCTCCAAAAGGACTGCGGAAGCTCGCCGTCAGCACGCGCTCAGAAGCACCGCGCACGGATATGACCGCCAGTGAATACTCCCTATAGGGAGGCAGCACGATACTCGAGGAACGTTTTATAAAACATCGTGGGAGTTCATTGCTGAGCTTTACTCGTAACACGTGGCTGCTCGTGGTCCAACGTGTTAGCACATTGCTGTTCGGAGCACGCGGAGAAGCTCGTGCTACCCAGGGACCCTGGGTTCAGTGCCCTGGACCCCTGCCCGTTTCGACCTGAACGAGCATTCGTGCGGTTGTACATCCTTATCACGTTAGAGGCACCAGTCTAGCAGAGGTACTGCACGCCTAAATTTATCTTCTACAGTAGAGACACCAGATTTCCATATGGCTAATATCATGCAGTTTAAACGTGCATGCAACACAATTTTATTCTCGTGGAACACTACGCATTTCTCATGAGTCTCTTGATCATGAATAGCTCGCGGAACTTCACAACATTTCTCCCTCCTAGAAGTTCATCTGCTGATCCCTACGTCTGCGGTGATCAGGTCGATATGCTGAGCAGGGACGCCGGTGCGATGGTCTCTTGGCAGTTCGGTTCACTGTGAACACTCCAATTTAATAGCGGTTGCCAGTGCAGTCGCAGGTTTGCTCACTTTACGGGGTGGCTGCTGTTGCTACCTTGAATTAGAATGGCTAACGAAAACAAAGTAGAAGGTGACAACAGGACACCTGGTGTCCTTTAGTAACCTTCCACATTGTTTGAAGCAAGTGGACAACTCCAGAGATCCGGTCCGGCGCCGAAACTGCTTGCCCACACAGTCTGGCCCACAGGGAAATCTAATAACGATACTTCCTCGAGACGAATCTTGCATTTCTCTCAGTAGACGTTAAATCTACTGTTGAGCAACCGCCGAAGCGTTTGTCGGAGGGCGCTGTCGTCGTTTTTCCTTTCGGCGATTATAATATTGTCTACAGAGTGCTGCAGAGCGCTATTCAGGCGCCAAAAAACAACAACAAGAACGATATAAATAAGTTAACGAATGGAGTGAAAATAAAATTTACACAAAAGTGTCTTTAGGTTGTGCATATATCATACTAAAATTTCGTAAACGTAGGTTTTACTAAAAAAAAAAGTGTGATCATGTAACAAAAACAGGGGAGCACGTATGTGTTGAGCGCTAACTACCACCTCGCAGAAATGAATGTCACGTGACCTGAGGTCACATAACGCTGTCACATGACGTCGATTTCCCCGCTAAATTTAGCGAGTAAATTGATATCGCGTGACTTGAGGTCACATGACGTGGTTACGTGACGTGATTTTCCACTCCAAATTTAGCGGGGAAATTGGCGTAACGGTCCTTTCTGACGGTCTTTTCATTGAATTTGGCTGATAAAAGACTTTATTTTTTTATCTAGATAAATAAAAAAGCGCGTTATAACTTATTCTTATGCACAGGGAGAAAAAACGGAAACCAGTCATCTGTTTGACTCTGCTATTCAAGGATCTATAGTTGCAGCCTGTATGGCCCACACACGCTCGGATTCACAACATCCGCTTTCAAATGTTCACATAAAGAAAAAGCTTTTATGTTTTTGATTTTTGTGGTTGCATCTGTGAGCCTGCGTCAACCAGATGTCTTGCTTCCGTTTTCCTGCCCGCGCACTGGAATAACAGGATTTTTATGACTGGAATATTTTGTTCCCAAACCTATACAATCATGAAGTTGCGTATATGATAAACGCACCACAGAAATAAACCTTTATGGAAAGTTTCGTTGTACACTGTTCGTTGGCTTATTAATTCGACTTTTGTTTACGCCTGAGTAGTGCTCGGAACCACCCGTAAACCTGAATACTCCCGCGGCAGATCGCTCAAGGGGGATTCGATGTGATACTGAAATTTCGCAGGGGCGGACGCAATTCAAAGCCGGATGAAGCAAAACGTATATTTATACGCCTTTGTCGGTGTTGAGAAGCGACATCTTGCGAGTCCAAGACAGGCCTTGTGTAGGCATTCCTGAAGTCGAGGGAATATCCCCGAAACGCCACCTTCGTTCACCACAGAAGCTATCTTTCACCATGGGCAAAGAAAGCGCTGCATTAACACACTTAGATAGTTCTGTAAATGTTCTTGATAGGATGTCCTAACGTTCCGAGGACGCCCCGTGGACGTTCATGGGACATCACCAGAATGTTATAAGACGTCTTGAGGACATCACAGAATCAGGTGTGCTACTACTAGGTAGTGAAATATTAGTCTGGAATCATAGCAAAGTCTGTTATTTCTATTGCTCTTTGCCAAGACAAGACAGATGTAACACATATATGCCGTCTTTCGCATTGTCCGGCCGCAACCAACGCTATGCATTCGATGCCGATCACCGGCTAAAACCTAAGTCACTGAGAGAATCCGGCATGAACATGCGCTTTTGTCCGTGCACGAGTGGTTTATATAGCGAATGCACAAAAACGACGAGGGCCGCGATGATTTTAACTTTGCTTGACTGGCTTCGTCGCATGTTAGCGTCAGCTGTGCTCGGACATAATGTGAAACGGAGTCGTATATATAAACAAAACAGTCATCGCAGACAGCGCACCCTCTTTGACGAATCGGTCGACTTCGTCGGACAAATTTCCGACGGAGTACATATAGACGACCAGACTGTCGACAAACGAGTCAGCATTTATCAACACCACGCACGCACTGCGCAGGAACCAGATCCGCGTCAAGTGATACGTTGGAGCAGGCGCCGCGTCTAAAGGCATATATGCCTTTGTCTTCACTCGTGGAACGCGTTAAAACGCGGAATGCCGGCGTCTTGCTGCGTTTGGCTCTCGCATTCGAACGCGTTCCACGAGTGCGGTGGAGACAAAGGCTGCTATAGCTTAGGCCTACCCACTAATCCCTCTAATCAGAGCTCGGCGTTCTGACGTCCCCGCGCGCTCCCGATCGTCTGCACTTCACGCTCAGTTCCTCGGCGCATATAGTTGTCCACATTGGTTTAGTTCTCATCTTTGCCACTAGGGAAGCGACGGTCGGGTCTCCTCCCCAATAATCGCTCTCAGAGCCGTGTATAGAGAGATTTTGGTCAGTAGGAGGAGAGGGCAGAGCCAGGGCGTGCACCAGTCGTAGATAGAGGGCTTGGCATGCTCTCTTGGCCAACCAGAAGCCGAAATGAATCCCCTAGCGGTGGCAGCGAGAAACAGTTTTAATGAGAGCATAAGGGTTACGTGTAGTAACTCTTCGTGGTTAAAAATATGGTGCGTGATGTTTCGATTATGATCATGCAAAAATATGTAAGAGACGAATGTGGCACTCGAAGTCTCTTTTGCTCGGACAGAGTGTGACCGCTCGGACAGCAGATTCGCGGCCTTCGGCGCCTGGAGAACGGATTATGTCGGTTTATGTCGCGCTCTTCCAGCATGATTTTGGATGACAGTGATTGAAATATAACGTGCACTATATTTTCGGTCACCGAGAGTTACTCCGACGCACTTCTTAATTTTGTTTCTCGCGACCACCGCCAGGGCATTATTTCCGGCCTCTGGTTGGCCGCATTCGAATTTGCGAAGGCACCGTGGAACACGCCCAGCGCGCTTTCGGCCAACGGGTCCTCCTCATTTACCTCTTCCCAATGAATGGCCAAACTCTCGTTATATACGGCTCTGGTTGCTCTCGGGTCAGTCTTCTGCTGTTGGAAGCGTGCGACAAAACAGATCGCGCCACGCTGCGGCTCCTACACGAAGCATTTCGCATAGACCACGGCCGGACTGGCATAAACATCCAGTGTTGCAGCGAACCTTTAGTTTATACGATTAATGTCGGCTTACCCGAGCACAGCTGTATACAAGACGTTCGGGGACACTTTTTGCTCGAGACCCGGAAATATCCCTTCAATGCGCTGGCGGAAAGCGCCGCAATCATCTCACTCACCTACTCGATCCGCCAGCGAGCGGAGAGCAATCCGATGGTAAAAAGAACGAAAAGTACTTATCACGTAGATTTTATCAATTACTGGCACCGGTGAATGTCGTCCCGCGTGGTGATTTCGGAACCAACTGCCAGGGCGGAGAGGCGCGCTACCTACAGATGTCGCCCTCTCCCAATAATCACCGACAAGGTGGGAACGGTAAAGCGTCTCTTTCAAGCACCCGGTTTCCAGAACGTTGTCTTTCGCCGTGCATCGGCTGCGCGTCAACGCTTGAGGATCACGAGACGGCGTGCTCTGATTAGAATGATTAGTGAGCTGTGGCAAGAGCAGTCTTGTCCGAACGAGCAGAGACATGGCGGCGGCCAGTGGTATTGCTTGCAATCGTCTGCAGGTGGTTTCCACTGGCGAACATATAGCTGAGCTCGCTGCTGCTGAGCACGTGTTGACGGCAAGCTTGCACAACGCTTCACACGCGCACACTGCACACCATAAAGAGTGTCTTCTTTGGGGGACTATGAGTAAGAACTCGTCCCGAGCATGCGCTGTGAGCTGTCACCTTACGTATGGCGTCGGTTACATACCATAACGAACTAGCTTCGTCCTGGCTTCTGTCATTGTTTCTCTTCCGCGGCTTCCCTTACAGGACGGGCGACGCGTGGCGCTACAAAAAGAAGGTGCTGACTCCTGCCTTTCATTTCGGCGCACTGGACGACTACATTCCCATCTTCAACGAGAACGGCGACTCTCTGGTCAAGCATATCTGCGATGCTATCGACGCAGCGCCCAGTGATCCTGTCCCACTGTTCAATATCGCGCAGAAATGTACCATGGACATCATCGCAGGTGGGCTGCCGCCGTTACATACTATACCATAACATTGATGAAGCCAGGACAGAGGTGAAACTGAGGGAGCAATGCGTGAATCAGTTATTTGAATCACACAATAAAAGTTATAATCCTCACTATAGAAAAAAAAAAAAGAAAAAAAGAAGGACATTGTATTTCATTTGCGACATCTTTGTCTTCGATGCTTCGAATGACCATGCATATTTTTTTGTTAAAGTCAAAGAACGGCTGAGAACGGCAGGGCCTCCATTTATGCTAGACCTCCAGCAGGTGCTTGTTGCCTTCCGCCGTGCTTTCATGGCGCGTGTACGCTCGAAGCTGACGCGAGATGGCCGAAGCATTATCGAAGGTAGGAAGCTAGCGCTGGAGGCGGAAAAAAAACTGAAGGACCTTCCCGCCGTTCTGAACCATTCAGTAACTATAGCTTATCCGCCATCGCTGCATCTCATTAGCAAAAAATGATTTTCTTTTTCAGAAGTTACAATGGGAAAAAAACTAGGACTACAGGAAAACAAGAACCCGAGCCTGGTGGCGTCATTTAACCGGTACGATCGAGTTTTAGGTATACAGAGTGCGGCACGGTCAGCGCGGGAGGGTTGAAAGTTAGGCATTTCTATAGCGATCCGTAATCAACAAAAAAAAAAAAAGCGCAAAAAAAAAGCTAAGATAGAGAATGCGGAGTGTGAATTTGTCTGCTTCTTGCACGCGGGTATCGATGATGTCAGAACGCCAAGTTCTTATTGGCTGATTGAAAGAATAGTGGGCAGACGTCAAGCCATCTAGCATTGAGGTCTACCCGCTATCCTTCAGTCAGAGCCAATCAGAGCTCGGCGTCGTCCTGACGTCACCACAACCCCACCTCTGCAAGAAGCAGGCGAACTTGCGCCCCGCATAGGCACGACCGGCCTGTTCCGCTCCGGCCCAAGCCGACACTTTACGATCCGACGGAGCCAATCAGGAACCGCCAAAAGTTCATCGCCACGGCGGTCGTCGTCTTTGTGCATTTTTTTATTCAAATTAAAACTAATCACGCACTGTAAATGCCCCATGATTCTGCGTTTTTTGTTTGTTTTTTTGGTTTTTCATGTTGCGTTTTTTTGTTGTTTTTTTTTTTTTTGTTTAGAACAGAACGAGAAATTGGCGTTTTTTTTTTCTTTCTATTTTTTTATTTTCGATGTTTAAACGCTATACACCAACACAGCGTTTACAAACAAGCCCGCGTTTGCTTGAGGCGAAGCTTCCGCGCATGCGCAATGACGACGGCAGCGCCACCGCAGCGGCGCGACGTCAGAGACTTGAGTTGGTATAGAATCATATTTTGTGTGTGTCTGTGTTGGAACCTACTTATTTCAGCACTGACCTAAGCGGTAATATTGTGCTCTCGTCAATATATACTTTGGAAGTGAAACGCGTAATAACGAGCCAAAGTCGAGTTCGCGCTACTCTAAGCCATTCTGGTGCGATGTCAGCTGAAAAAAAAAAAAAAAGATGCAATCCAGAAATTAGAATGCGAAAGTGCAATATTTCTGATCATTTACATACTCTTGAATTAACGAATTCCGCTAGAGCCACCAAACATCTGCGAGCGCAGTCATTTTGGTGCTTAGTCGCAAACTTTTGTCGAATCTGAGGTTCGATCGGTTCGGTGAACCTTCGAACTTTCAGCAACGTTAGACGAAGTTCAACTTATGGACAGGGTTGCCCAACTTGTGCACATGAAAACAATTTGAATTATTTGTAGTGTTGCGCGAATATTCAAAATTTAAACTAGAAGTTTCGAATAATATACTATTCGATATTTGCTTCCAACAAACTACAATATTCGTATTCTTCGAAGTGTTGATCGCTGCGAGTTTGCTCCGTTAAGCGCGCTTCTCACTGACCTAGTGGTGCACCGCGGAGAAGCAACATACGCGAAAGCGAGCGCCACGGGTGTTGCTTTTCCGCAGTGCACCAGTGCTTGGTAAGTAGCGCACTCAACGGGGTAACCCGACGCCAGAGCCGCCTGACGCTATCGACACTTGAAAAAATATGAATACCGCAATAGACCTTTTGCTAAATTACCCAAGCACCATATAGATTATAGAGCGTGCTCGAGCGTAGTTACACGCGCTACGCATGCTGGCGTGTGCAGTAGTAACTGTTCTAAAAACAAAAGCTAAAAACAAATGGGATTTTGCATGCGCGTTCATCATTGTCTTATTTTTGTTATTTACGTCGAATCTTTTATACAGCTCAGCTGAGTCCGAGCAGCGCGTGTATCTATATTTCCAGCCTTCTTCTTAATGTTTGGGTAATTTGGCAAGAGGTCTTTGCGTGCCTGGAAGAAATGCACACTCTCAAAGCGGAGTAGGGCACCCGCGCGCCTGGTGGTATTTTAAAAGAAACGAGACCTTCTGAATTCTGATATCCACATTGGAGTAAAATGTTTAAAATTAAACTGGGGCTGTTATGCAAGAATGAATGTAAGGCAGAGTTTCGCCCTGACAACCTGTGTTCAGCATTCGTGATGCTTTTTTCTTTTTTTTTTCTATGATTCGAGATTGAAGTAAGAATGAAGATAATGTAATAAGGCAGGCGAGCTGGTTAAGCATTTCTAAAACCCAGGATGGGGGCTACAAAGAGGGGACAAACACAAGACGTCTCAAACACGGCTACTAAATTTGATTCAACACACTTCTTTTATACCCGGCACGGCCAAAACGTTTGCTACAGTTCACACACGACTACAAAAGATGGTCATAGCCTTAACAGGAAACAAAAAGACCATGTCTTCAGTACATATACGCCCTCCTCAATACATATACGTCCCAAATAAGAAAAAAAAAATTGCATACTACAATTTAAAAGCGTTTGAGAGGTTTCGTCGGTAGTTGGAAATTGTGACCTTGGAGATTGTGTAGTTTTGAACTAGCGGAAAGGTAGGCGTCGCGTGGAACTGTAGCAAACCTTTTGGCTGTGTGCAAATGGAGGGAGGTGTGAAGGTGACAAATATAAAAGAAGTGTCCCGAATAAAATTTAATAGCTGTGTTGGAGAAGTCTTGTGTTTGTCCCTTCTTTGTAGCCTCCGTCTTAGGTTTTAGAAATGTTGAAGAAAGAATATTTGCATGTAGTAAGATATGTAAATCTACTCAATAGATGGGCGTATCCATGGGCTTTTATATATGTCAAATCCGTCGTTTAATTGCCCATCCCAAGGCATCACACTTTCCGAGGTCGCAGTTCATAAATAAAGTTAGATTAAAATTAGCTTGTAAATGGACAACTGGAAGCTTGGAAGCAACCTTCACGCGTTTAGCTGGGTTTTCGTTTAAGCATGGTGCAACAGTAAAGAAAGGCTTGGAGGAAGCATTCAATATTCAATTCGAAACTATTGGACCTAAGCCACTATTCACTAATAAAATTAACAAGCGCTAACAAAGACGAGGACAAAAAAGAAAGGTGAACAGGACGAGCACCTTCCTTTTTTGTCCCCGTCTTTGTTAGCGCTTTTAAATTTTATAAGTGATGAACCAACTCGCCCGCTTCGCCACTTTAGTCCACTATTCACTTCGAAGTCAAAATTTATAATTCTCACACGACTAATAATTTGGAAGGAAGTAATATATAAATTAGTTTATTTCATATTTTATAAAGGGATTGCCAATATTTAAATTGTGCACAAAATATGTGCACAATTTATTGTTTTAATTAATTCTTTTACTTCAACGAATGTTACAAGTTTTCTCCGCCAAATGGCATCGGCTCGTTATCGAATGTTTGCGCACAAAAATCAAAACTTTTCGCGCGTTTCTTTTTTTTTTTTGTTTGTGTGTGTGTGTGTGTATAGAAGTTTGGAAAACTCTAACTTATTCGAACTCGAACCTTGACAAGCAGGTTTGACAATTCGAAGAATGTGAATTCCAGAGCTTTCGATACACGGCGTCGGGAAGCCGGCGGCAGACGATGTCGCTTGGCTTTGTCCGGCGACTGTTTAAACATTTCCGGAGGAAGGAAAACCGTTTCCGTCAATTTTAGATCGAGCTGCGGGTAGCTGGCCACAATGATTTCAAACACCAAGATGGCCGAGGCTTTGCTACCCTGAATTAGAACCATGCATTGAATTAGAACCACGAATTGGAACCTCGCGTCAGCGTGCGCGGTTCTGCGGACCTCGTTTTCTTGGTGCTGTTGGCTCGATACCATCTTGTACGCGTTACTGAAAGAAAAAAAAAAGTAACCGACTACAATTACTTTATCGAAAAATTAACTGATTACAGTAATCAATTACTGCATCACAAAAGTGATTTAAAAATTACCACCAGAAAGTAATTGATTACAGTATTGCTTTTCTTCTTTTTATTACGAAATGAAAAATGTATACGTACGTTCAAAGTGGAAACGAGGCACTCTTGTCAACTCGACAGTGAAAGCGTCGTTGAGCAAGTAGACATTCTAATCTTCCTGGTATATCTTGGTATGTTTTTTTCTGTTGTTTAGTAAAAAAAAAAAGTGTCCAGCATTGGTGCAACGTAGGCGAGCGACGCACGGCCGGACAGAGCGATTTTACAGCGAAGCTGTTTATGGCTAGGGTCCCGCCGATTCTTCGTGTGCAGCAGCAGAAATGACGTCACGGCTTCGTGACGTCATGCGACGTCCCGACTTCATGACGTCAATTTCCCCTCTAAATTTTGCGGGGAAATCGACGTCACGTGACGTCAACACCAATGCAATTTCCCCGCTAAATTTAGCGGGAAAATTGACGTCACGTGACAGGAAGTCGTGACGTCACATGACGTCACGAAGTCGTGACATCGCGGGATGTCACGTCTGTGTCATGTGCTAAACAGTTTCGCTGGTTATCCACCTTCATAGAGCGGAATGGCTCATCAATTTTACGTATAATTTTAGCTCTTTCGGAAACATATAATTGACTACAAAAATATAGCAATCGAATTACAGCGAACGTTACCGCGGGGAAAAAGTAATTGAAGCGTTAAAAAGTTACAATAACATGTAATCGACTACAAGTCTGCTCGATACGCATGCAGTGAGGACGGTATTCATGTGCTGTTATCCCGCTCTAAAAAACAAACAAAAAAAAAGGTACGCTTGAATTAAAATTAAATTGCGTGCCAATCATTCCGACTCTTTCTTTTCTTTTTTTTTTTTTTTCCAGAGCGATGATGCTAGTTCCTGTGCGGTGCCTCAGCCCCTGGTTTTGGGTCCAGGCGATATACGACATCACGAGCCAGGGAAAAGGCTACAAGGGCGCCGTTGAGGAAATGGTGAACCTCACACATTCCGTAAGCAAACTGGGGTCTACTATTTTCCCCCGCGGAGAATCGTCCGGGCGCACGCGCAGGTACGCGCAGGTACGCCATCCGCCATTTTTTCTGGTGGCTCCGTACCGGCAGTCAGGAAAGTCCGCGGACATACTGCTCGTATACATCGATACAAAAGACACGGAGTTTCTCCGCAGACACGATGACGGAATAATCCCCGTACATTCTCCTCAAGCATATGTAGGAAGCATGCTAGCCTCATAGGCTAGGTGGCGCAAGCTACCTCCCGATACAAAGCGTATAGCCATCAACAATCCATCCATACATATGTAGGCTCCAAACGTGTCTGCAGTCAGCTTTTTGTACGACCAGTGTGACCGTAATGAAGGGAAGAGTCGGCCCTAGACAGCGTCGTCTGCAGACTGTCGTTTCTATGATGTGCGATCTATGATCTATACGAACGCACGAGCATGTGTGATTCGGATTGCGCCGAGCGTAACGCGTTGATTGGGCATCATAATCATCTTAATCACTCAGCAGAACCAAAGCCACCGCGGAAAGGCGACAGCCCGAAGCACAAAGGCCCGCTGTGTCGCGGGCCTCAGTGGCTCAGCCCAACCCGAAAACAGCACTCGTGCATAATTGTGTCTTCTCTATACGACGGCCGGACTGGATTCGCGCTTTTTTTACGTGCGCCTTTTCTGTCACAAGAGAATGCATGTGCATCTTTCTGCGCGGGGCCCCTTGCACCCTCGTTGTTCCACCCTGCTAACCCTGCTGCTCAGAGGCGTCTGTTTCTCCTGGCCCAATGGTGTATTGTCATGTCCCGAATTGCACGTCACCATCGGGGAGGACTTCTGGCGTATCTTTCCACCAGCTGCCCAGCCATGAATCACTAAGCACCACGTGAAAAAAAAAAAAGAAAAAAAAAAAAGCCTTTTACAGCTCCCTGTAACGCCGAATTAGAGCGCAGCTCTTGACAAGGAGGAAGGGAGGATACTGAGGAGAGGGTATACCCCTCCTTCCTCCTCCTCCCCTCCTCATCCTGCCTGCTACACCTCCCTCCGAGCGAAGGGAGGGGGGGGGGGGGGGGGGCTGGAACTGAATCGGATCTGTGTCTTGTTGGTTTCGCGGTACGTGTGGTTTTTCCAATAATAAACCAGTTGCGCTCTGTGGTGTGTGTCTCTCCTACTCGTCCGTCGTCTTTAGCGCGTTTAACCCTTAAACATGTTCAACCAACTAGCCCAAATCCAAACCCTTCTGAGGGGGAGGGGTCACGTGACCCCCCTGAGGGGCTTAGAGTGACGAACTGGTGTCCCGTTCACCAGGCAAAAGTGACCCCACTTGGCTGCCGCCGTTGTACAAGTTTGACCACTAGACACGTGACCGTACGAAATCCTGAGTCTTTTACGCAAAACTGACCCGAGATTTGCGTTGCGATCACTGTAAAAAAACACGATAAACAATTTCTTTAATACTGTTAGCCCCAGAGATCAGTGTCTAGCGCCGATAAAAACCCAAAATAGAGCACCGCCGCTGACGGCATCTGGCGGAGGCATTGCGAATCTGCCCGAGTTTTTGTCGTAAAACATAACTTATCTCGTCCGCACTGTTATTAAAGATCAATAAGCAATTATTTGTGCGTGGTACTTCGTTAAAATTTAGGCGTAAAAACTATAAGGTCAAGTGTGTAGTGGTCAAAAAATGTGCAACATGGCGGCGGCCGATTGGGGATCCCTTTTAGCTGCCAGTTTATCACCCTAAGGCCCTCTACCTCGTTGTGTTATTTAGATAGAAAAGACAGGGGCTGAGATAAAAAAGGCAGGGGCGACTCCGAGAAACTATCCCAGGATTCCTCAGCGAGATTTTGGTTGACGATAGTAATGCTTTCGTGAAAGCTAGGTCGCGTTTAATTAGCGTAACGGATCATCCAGAACTGACTGCACTGCTAATGTTGTCGTTTTTGTTCCTTTTTTTCTCCCATTGTTTTAGGTCATGCGTCAACATTTAGAAACATCAAACGGCACGAAAATGACTTCGCAATTTTCACAACACGACACTGAGGCCGATTCCTCCAAAAAGGCTTCGCTGATTGATAGGCTGATGAAGACACAAAAAGAGGACGAGAAGTACACTCTTGATGACGTAGTAGGGGACATCAACACCATTCTCGGCGGGGTAAGTTAACTATAAATGGCCTCATTAAAACTGTGAAATGTCTTAATGAGGCCGATAAAATGTTTCTTGCGGGTTATGTCACGTGCGTTTGAAGCACGTGACATAACCCGCAATGAGTTTTTAACTGCTATAGCTCTTGGCAAATGCAACATAACCTCTACAAATGCAATCTCCTTTCATTCACCGGAGAGCGGTAACTTTCATTTCATTTCATTTCATTTTATTCACCTCAAGGGCGTCGGATGGACGCATTACATGAGGGGAGATTCAAAAACAAATCAAGTTTAAAAAAAAAAGGAGAGAAACAGAATAGGAAAGACAGAAAAAAAAAGCACCCTACATGGCATTTACGTAGAGGACATTCAGGTTCGCTGTGCTTGTGCCAGACGAGAACTAGGGTGTTTTCATGTGCGCTTTGCTTAGGGTGGAGACCAGTGATCTCTATTTTGTCCCACACTTTTATTTTTCTTTTTTGTTGAGAGGCGCGTGAAAGAGCGTGTCCCATGCACGCGTTTGTGGAGCTGAATGTGCTATGGCGACATTTTGTTTTCGTCGATTTCTTTGTATGTTCACCGTGAGCGCGTTCTCTCGGCTTCGGGTACTACAAAGGGTGGTATCACCCTAAACAGAAGAACATTGAGGCACCCTAACGAGAACTGTAAATGCAGCTTATGGCAGTTTAGCTTATGTTTATTGGGATTGCCGTCGGAAACTCGAATCAGGCACGCGCAACATGTGTTTGTTACAAGGACTGTTCATTCAACAGTATATCGACTTTTTCTTTATTTAAAAAAAAATTATAAGCAACACCAAAATACAAGTTTAAAACACGAAAAAAAAAGAGTGCTTTTCGACGTGAACAAGTTGTTTTGCAGCAACCAGGAAACCCGCTTGGCGACTGTCGTTTACCTCGATTTCTCCGCTCTCATCTCCTCGATTGCACCATGAAATCTAATGTTTCGCCTGAATTCACGTAGCAGGTGGAGAGCGATGCCAGTACTCACTTAATTGAGTCGCTTGACTCAAATGCCATTTAGGTCAAATGCCGTTTGGGTTGCCGTGTGGGTACAGCTTTCTGAACACCTTTTACGTAAATGCCGTCTGAGGCGCTCGTCTGACAGGAGTATTCAAGGGGCTTATTCAGGCTACAGCCTGGAAAGAAAGTGTCGACGTAAAGCTGCAGAATTGACCAAAAGACGTCACCTTCCTTCCCAAAAAGGTGCGTCGTCAGGCATGTTACTTGCGCCACTGTTAAAAGCAGATGTACTAGGCTGCACGATACTGCCTCTTCAGGCGCTGTAGGTATGCAAATAAATAAATAAATAAAGCGCACAAAAACATCGGCGCTTTTTTTTTCTTTTTTGGGGGGTTTTATTTGAAGAAATATTGGCACTAAAGTCATCAATTTTTAAAGCTTAGGTTAGTGCTCGAGCACTTTCCATCAAATTACACTTAGAAAAGCAGAACCCTCTCACGGGAAATGCAAGGTTGCGGTCGACTATATGCCGGTCCGGCCGAGCGTTATACCAACAACGGGAAGCGATTTGCCATCTTGCTACTTGTTGCTTCGTCGGAGAAGTCGAATAAAATCATTTCGAAGACTACTCACAATGGCAAAGCAATCGTGTATGCCGTAAACTACGATTAACTTTTCGTGATCCGAGCTATATAACAGCCGCCGTGCGACCGCGAGCAGACGAATAGATCTGGTTCTCGGCACGCGAGTGTAACGACCGTTCCCAGTTCAATAGGGTAGAGACACTAGGTCTGCGCGGGCCGATATTTAGGAGCCCGGCCCAGCCCGGCCCTCTTTAAGCCCGGGCCCGCCCGCGGCCCGCTAGCTATTTTCTACAACCGGCCCGGCCCGGCCCGAGGCTAATTTTCACGTACCCGCTGAGGCCCGCTCTATTTTCGCCCAGTATGAATAGCTCACAGATTGGACGGCATGGCAGCTTGCTTGCCACTGTGACACATGTTGACTATGTTGCTTCATAATAACTAAAGCAAGCATCTTTAGTTTTTCTCTCTTTTATTTTTGCTGCTATTATTAGTCGGATTGATCTGCAAACCTAAACCGCTCGTTCAAAAAAAAAAAAAAATTTCCTCCAATCGTTTATTTTTTTGTTTTTCTTTTTGTGAACAAGCACGCGGATCCACAAAGACTGAAAAATAAAAATGGCAAGCAACAGTAAACAGAACCATGACCAAAGTTGCAAAGGAAGTGAAACATCACGACGGGTTCGGACAAAAGACGGGCAAAGTTCTAAGTTGTCCACTCCCGTTGTGTAACACTACTGGAAAAAAGAAAAAAAGAAAATACCACCGTTTATTGCGGTGGTCTGTGAGTAATTGTTCAGGAAAAGCACCCCTGAGGGGAACCTCTTCACCTATATTGTGGATGCACGCACTAGTACGCGCAGGTAGTGTACGCCCGCGAGGATACGCGTTGCGTAGGCGCGTATGTATGCGCGTTGCTAAGGAGAAGTGTATGTACGACAGCGGCGCTGCAGGCGACAAAAATGAACGCCGCGGCGCTGGTACTGTGGCAGAGCATTCGGTACACAGACATCGAGCTGTACAAACACACATCCTTTCAGCATTAGTACCTACCCCGCTGTGGTCCCTCCCGCAACCCCCCGAACAAACTTCCAAGTACATTGCTGCTAAAAATGAAAAACGTAACGGCCGGCGTGGCCCGCTTCGGCCCGCCTTGTAGTGCCGGGCCCGGGTCCTTCATGAATATAGCAGTGAAGCCCGAGCCCGGCCCGTGGCCCGCGGGCTGGCCCGTGCCCCTGCAGACCTCGAGACACATCACCTGCCCTTTCTGGTCTTTGGGGCATATTTTACTCTATCTAGTTTCGGGGCTCTTGAAATTCCGACCGGTAAACGTTGCCTCGCCGTCTTGTTTACGACAGTGTGCGACGTGAAAGGCGAGTCAGGGATGTTGCACGCTGCAGAACATTTCAGCTGTTAGACGGTTGCTCGACTTCTACGATTCGCTAAAACGTGTTACATTTTGCACACGCACGGTTTCACGGGAACGGAGCAGCGGCACCGTTCATGATTTCGGAACCGTTCCGACTCGCTAAAACTGTTCGCAATCGGTTGTAGCGCAACCTGAAGAACAGTCAGCAGAGTCGCTTTTAAAACGTTGGGGTCTTTAGACCAGTGGCATAGCCAGAAAAAAAAAAAAATAAGGGGGGGGGGGGGAGCTAAGTTCTGTGGATAGATATGTATGTTTCCAACATGTCTGCAGGTAGTTCTTGGATGAACAATGTCACAGTACCATTATATACATTAAAAAGTAACTATGTAAAAAACAACAGAAAAAGCTTGGCAGCTCTTTTGCCACAAATTATTCTTTATCGTTTGTTTCTGTTTCCACGATTTTTGTTAAGAAATTATATTTTCGATTCTTGTCCTTCCTGTAAAATGAGAGACTCTGTGTTGTGTAGCCTAGCAAAAAAAAAAGTTTTTGTTTTTACAAATGTGAAACAACAAGACAGAAACAAAAGTTTCTGTCTTTTTGTGCGACAGCGACTTTATACTTTAATTAAAATTGACAATCGCCGTTCGATGACCTTTTGGTGACATTAACTGGGTATACACCACTTTTTCTTTTTCTTCTAGGGAAACGATACCGCAGCTTTGGCCGTGTGCTGGGCACTGAATCTTCTCGGCCACAACGCCGACGCTCAGAGAAAGGCTCACGAGGAGCTCGACGAGATATTCGGCAGCAGCCGTGACGGAGAAATCACCGCTGACGACCTGAAGAAAATGAAGTATCTGGAATGCTGTCTGAAGGTTCGAACTCGTATCGGATATTCTGCACGAGCCCGTTACGTGAAAATATGTAAAGGGTTACAATTCCAAATTACCGAGCCTCAAATGCAATCGATTACCGTTATAGCTTACACATATCTTTCGCTCAGTAGCAGTATAGCTCAGTAGCAGCTCAGTAGCAGCGTCTTTTTCTGCTTGGAGATTCGGAGGAGCCGATCTACAAAATCTTCCTTTGGGGAACGGGCCTTTCGAGCGTGAGCGCAATGTCTCCAAAAGCTATGGTCTCGTGCCTCTACCTCAAGACGCACTCCCTGACAGCTTATACCGAAAAATGCCTGGGCGCGAGCGCTCATTTTCGAGCTTTGGTCCAGCGTGTGGTCGCTGACCCATATTGCTCCTGTTTCTGTACTATGTTCATATTTTTTTAAAGTATCGAGTAAGTAAAGTGATCCATTACCAATATTTGTCACGAAATCACATTACAAATTACTACCGCAAAAACAGAAAAAGTAACGTGGCAATTACAAAATTACTCGAAGAAGGCACGGATTACTTCCGAAGTCTGCCTATAATGACTTTTTTTTTTCCTCTGTTTACTCGGTGTGTTCAGGAAGCCCTGCGGCTGTACCCGTCTTTCCCCGTAATCGGAAGGACGCTCGAAGAAGATCTCGTCATAGGTGAGCATATAAAGGCGGCTTCGCACATTCCCGTTCTGACGACGAGAGAGCGTACTGGAGCCGTCCATGATGCTCGGTGGCACGGTGACACTGTTTTTTTTTTTTTTTTTATGTTGTTATTATTATTATTCTCGCGTTTACCTCAGGAACCGTATTTATGTGAAGAATCATATGTTATCAAGACGTGCACGTTTCAAATGCCAAAAAGCATCGCTTCTTCCTCCGACAACCAAATCTCGTAAGAACTACTTCGCACGACGCAAAAACAAAACGCAAAACTTCAGTTTTTTTTTTGTGTTTTTTTATGTGACATTTAGTGGTAGGTGTAAACGTATTTTCAGCCTGGTCATTCGCCGAGCTGCCTCCGTAGATTTCGGTGATTAGTTTTCCCCAACGTTACTAGGACCATTCAGTTCAGAAACTGTCGCAGAGCCTGCTCTCAAAAAGAGGCACCGATCCGTACTCGAAAACCGAACTAATGGCGATCGCAACGCCGCCATTTCTACCGCAGCGGCCACTCGAGGAACTGCACGTGACGTGTATTTTGGCTTTAATCGACCATTTTGAACGAAACAATTACGGTGGAGGGTTTCAGGGGTGCCACCCCCGTCTGCCAAGTGGACGCGCCGCGATTTACTACCGAAGTTAGGATTCGTCCAGGTCGGTGCGCTACCTGAAATCACCGGTGAGACATGGTTGTATAAAAACAACATTAATTGTGCTGCAAAACCTTGCAAACTTGAGATATTAGAAAACATCACGCGCCCGTCGTTCATTAATTGTGCCGCAAAACCTTGCAAACTGAAGATATTAGAAAACATCACGCGCCCGTCATTTGGTACTAAACTCCAATAAATTTCATACAAAAAGAGTCTTTTCCGTTTGTTTTTACGCAAAAACATGCTTTCTAAAAGCTCAAGGTGACCACAGTTAAGACAAATGATAAAGAGTGGCGCTGTTGTCGTATTTAGCTTAGCTCGGTCTCGGTGAATGCCAGCGGCCCAGGGAGTCGACGGCGAGTTTCCCAACTGAGTGTTCTAGTAACGCTGTTTTTCTCGAACTGCTTTTCACAGAAAAATAGACGCACCGGTGTCTATGTGTGTACCTATAAGATGCTGCTGAAGGTGTGATGCAACAATTTTTTTATACTTTCCATAAATACAGCGTTGAATTACTTCTTGATATTTAGGACCCGTAAAACACGCGTTGCATTTTTTTTCTACGCAATAACGATTGCAACAAAAAAAAAACGAAAAACAAAACAAAAACGAACACCGTTTGTTTTTTTCAACTTGCAGCCAGAAAAGGCGGCCACGTGATCTGGAGCCGATTATATGCCGCCAGTGTTTTTAACACGTGGTTTTTGACACAGCCACGCGTTGTGGTTGGCAGAGCACAGGGCGCGTGCTGACTTACACGCATTGTTCAGGTTCGGCTATTGCCGTCATCCCAGAGATTTAACACGAGCCACTACCCGGATGCATGTCGAGGCATTGATTGCCACGAGCCAAAATCAAATGTCTACGCAGTCTTCCCGCTCATTCACACTGGAAGCGGATCCGCATTCGCAAAGCGGTTGCGAACGCGGTTGTTGAAGATCCAGTGCAATTGCACGCGCACTTGATGACATCAAGTGCGCGTGCAATTGTACTGGATCTTTATACAACCGCGTTCGCAACCGCTTTGCGAACGCGGATCCGCTTCCAGTGTGAATGAGCAGTTCCTGTGCGCCGTATGAGCAGCATTTAAATATCCTTACAGCGGGAATCGGGGAGCTTGATGACGCATTCGATGGGGATCGCATTGTTGGCGTTGTCCCCACAGCTCCGTCATCAAGCTTTGCGAAGGAGAGGCTGAGAGAAAAGGTGCGCTTTGATCCTTGGAATTCCGCCGCGACGAAGACGCTTCCTGGACAGTGGCCTTGCGATCGAGTATTCTTGGGTCCCACTAGTGACAGTAAGCTGGTGTAAAGTGAGAAACTTCCCTGCTCAATATCGTAGCACAGCCCCTTTAAAGCCTGCTCAGTTCTGCTGTAACGGTCGCTTTCCATCTTGGCAGTTAAAGGGGTATCCACACGAAGGAGAACTCCGCGGACGGATGTTGTGACGTCAACAACCCGGGAAACTCCGTCCCCGGCTTCGCCGCGTGCAGCTGCTGAGCTTTCGTGCTGACAGAACGAAGCCTCCGCGCCTCCGCCACGGAGGAGAACGGGAGAACGGCGCCACGAGGCGTCAAAAAGGGATGACGTATGTCTCACGTGATGCGCGCTCCGCGGAGGAAAAGGGGCGGATTTCTCCTTCGTGTGGATACCCCTTAAAGGGGCACTGACACCCCAAAGGTCGTATTTATTTTTATTGTCTAAAACGATGCAAGTTGTAGTCATAGACACGCAAAAAAAACCGCATCGCGAAAAAAAATTTTCCCGCGCGCGCGCGCGCCTTTTTATTTTTGGCGTTTGATTTTCCCGCCTCTCGCCTCCTCGCTTCTTTTGATCGGTGACGTCAAAAATCAGGAAATTTAGAAGCTTTGTAGGCGACATCTCTATAACATTTAATTACGGCAATCTTAAAACATGTTTTTTAACGCAATTGCGAACGCACTACGGCCCTTCTTTTTGAAATACCAAAAATCGGGAGTTCGTTGTGGTGCCGTCTCCTGGATTTGTATCCTCCAACGGAAAACAGGCGACACCGCTCAAAACCGGTCCACCGCAACGCCGGCGCTAGCCGGCGCTCGCTCCTATCCTCCTCGCTTTGGGTCGCCATGGCAACAGCAGGGAGTGGTGACAGGAAAGTGGACTCTCAGGTCTCCTCAATTTTTGACGTCAAGGCACCGGCGCCGATCGCGCGGGAACTTCGAATTCGGCATTTGGAAATTGTTTTTTTACTTCACGAATACTGAATTCCCAAATCTCAAATTTTGAGGGTAATGTCCCGGCATCGTTTTCAATCGTTTCGGATAATAAAAAAAAATATGATTTTGATGTGTCAGTGCCCCTTTAACGGACGTTTCAGCAACAAGGGTTTGAGACGCCGAGACGAAAATAACACCTACATTTGCTGGCCCCCCCCCCCCCTCTTTTTTTTTTTCCTTTTTTCTTCTTGAAGTTGTACGATTAGCCGCCAGGATCGCGACGTCGGAGAGCATGACACGTCGGCTTAGTGCCGTAATTTGTTGCCGCCTAGAAACCACAGTCGAAAACGCGATCTAAGAACCGTAGAAGTTTACGACGACGTCGCATACCTTGAATGCTTTTATAAAGACCATGATCGCAACGCGCTTGGATACAGGCGCAACTCCAAACTTCCACCGTTTTTTTTTTTTGAATTAATCACGCTGTGTAACTTGTCATTAGCAAGTGATGATAAGTGCTGTCAGGATACTCATTGGCCACGAACGCAATTAAGGTATTCGTCGACGGATTGATTGGTTGACCGGCGCGTATGTCCGAGTGACGCAGTTCTCGTGTCGAATGCGGGAGCAGGGGTGGGCTGACGTACTTTGGGTGCACCGCGGATGCATCACAGTGAAAAGGCGGAGAACTCTCGAAGGAAACGAAGTACGAAGTAGTCCGCTATATATATATATATATATCTTTTTTTTTTTTTTTTTTTACTTCTTGTATTAGAAAACAGGCTTCTGACTTTCTGCCCACTTTCTTTTGACCCACCAAGCGACACGCGATTAGTAAAATTCCAATCTAAAAGCATTTATCCCAAGCCCGAAATTCATTTCATGATCCCTTTAACGCTGCATGTTTAGCAACCGAATTCTACGAGAAAACCGTAATATAAAAAAATAATAATAAAAAACCGGCACGAAAGACTGCGACATGACGCCACGTTACTCCGTGACGTAGCGTGACGTACTGATATCATATGACACCGTGGCGGTACATGACACTTAGACGTCGTGTGACATCGCGCACTAACACCTTGCATGTGCCCTTTCAAAAAGCATTCTGTGCTAACCGTAGTGAAAGAATATAGATACATTTGTATCTACATTCACTACATTTATATCTAATTCGCTACACTACGCGGAGCTCTATGTAGTGTTAAGATACATATGTGAGGGAATTTTAGGTTATAGCTTTAGCGCTATTTTATCCAGACGTACACGTTTCGAACGCCAAAGCATTGTTTTCCCACCTTGGACAACCAAACCAAACTTCGTGCAGCGCATTAATGATGCCCGAAACTTCTTTTTACGGTCAGTTAACCCCAGTATCGTGTCCGTCAGCAAACAAATGTTGACACCAAACTCTGGACAGCTACCGCCATCTATGAGCGACAGTAGCAATCAAACAACCGGCTTGCCGGTTGTCTGGTTGCCGCCGTTGCTCATAGATGGCGCAATCTTTCCAGCCTTTCCACTCTGGCTTGCCGACTTGCGGCCGGCCATTGCTCCATTCCCACCATAGTACAGCTTCGCTGGTCTTCTTTCTTCACCAAAGTGAAAAGGCTGAAAGTTTTTTTGTTTTGTTTTTTCTCTCGGTGTGACGACGAGTGTAATAGTGTAATTTTTTTCTCTCTTTTCAGACGGCCAAACGGTACCAAAAGGTGTAACGTGCGTCATCGCCATCTTCAGCATCCACCGCAACCCGAACCACTTCAAAGATCCCGACTCGTTCGTCCCAGAGCGGTTCATGACCGAGGAGATCAAACAGCGGCACCCGTTCAGCTACATCCCCTTTTCCAAGGGCCTCAGGGTTTGCATCGGTAAGCGAGCACTTTCCATTCAATCCGTCCATGCAATGCGTCCACTGGAAAGGTATAAGGAATGCAACCAATACTTCGTCGAACCAAATAGAATTAGGGAATATTAGTATCGATGGTTCGTCCGATATCGCTGATACCGATACGATGAATGCCTGAATGCGTCAGCGGAGTATCGGGTATCGTTATCAGAGCTATCGGCACGATCTACGGTTGCCGTTGCTGTACCAGTGTTGTATGCGTTACCGACAAAAAAGTAACTAAATACGTTACTCGTTACTTGCAAATAAATGTAACGCGTTACCGACCTACGTTACCTCAAAATAAAAGGAACGCGTTACCGTTACTGATAAAAAGTAACGCACGTTACTGTTGCGTTACTTTTTATTCACGAACTAAAGTATTTGCTGTTTCGACGTTTGATATGTGCGTAAGCGCCATACCTAAGATATGTCCATGCGGAAACTTAATTACCCTCTTATTTTTAGGGTTTCACCCGAATACTTACAAGAAAAAACGCGGAAGTATATATGAAGCTGATGTATAACATGGAAAACGGGAAAGGGAATGACACGAAGGTGTCATTCTCTTTCCCAGCGGGAAGCGAAGCGCAGGCTTCGACGCAGGAATCTCCCAAATCCAACCTGAAGCCGGACCTCTTTGGCCTTCCAGCCGAGGCGACGGCGGTAGCGAGATCAACGAGCCGCGGGAGAAAGCTAGTGGCAGGTGGCGTGTGACGTCAAATCTGACGAGCACCGACGTCAAAGAAAAGTGGAGGACAGCGGCATTTTTAGAGCGCAGCTCTTAGGGGCCCGTTTCCGGCTTGAGCGGCGTCGCCGTCGCCGTCGGCGTAACCGCGCGGTGCATCATGGGAAATGTCCCATAATGCACCGCGCGAGCCCCCCACCGGGGTCACGTGACCTCGTAGGGGGGCACGTGACCCCCCGAGGTCACGTGACCCCGGTGGGGGGCTGGCGCGGTGCATTATGGGACATTTCCCATGATGCACCGGGGTCACGTGACCCCTCCTCGAGGTCACGTGACCCCTCCTCAAGGTCACGTGACCCCCCGAGGTCACGTGACCCCCGCCGATGTCGCGTGACCCCCCGCTTACGTCATCGTCACTGATGACGTCACCGGCATCCACATCGTCATCGTCATCATCACTGATGACGTCATCATCAGTGATGACGTCACCGGCATCCACATCGTCATCGTTATCATCACTGATGACGTCTCCGGCATCCACATCGTCATCGTCATCATCACTGATGACGTCACCGGCATCCGCATCGTCATCGTCATCATCACTGATGACGTTGCCGACATCCGCATCGTCATCGTCATCATCACTGATGACGTCATCAGTGACGTCACTGATGTCGTCACCGGCATCCACATCGTCATCGTCATCATCACTGATGACGTCACCGGCATCCGCATCGTCATCGTCATCATAACTTATGAAGTCACCGGTATCCGCATCGTCATCGTCATCATCACTGATGACGTTACTGACATCCGCATCGTCATCGTCATCATCACTGATGACGTCATCAGCGACGTCACTGATGACGTCACGGACATTCGCATCGTCATCATCACTGGTGAAGTCATCAGTGACGTCACTAATGACGTCATCGGTACCCGCATCGTCATCGTCACTAATGACGTCATCAGTGACGTCAGTGATGACATCATCGGCATTGGGGGTCACGCGACCCCCCCTGGTTAGTTCAACCCCCCCCCCCCCCCCAGTGCCCTTCCCTCCTCCTCCTCAAGAGCTGCGCTCTAATTCGGCGTTACAGGGAGTTGTAAGCGGCTTTCACTTTTTTTGACTAAGGAATTTATGACTGGGTGCCTAAAAACACACAAAAAAAATTTTAAATTTAATTTTTTTAAGTTCTAGGAAGTAAAGTAGCGTAACGTAATTTCGTTACACGTTACTCAAAATAAGTAACGTAAGTACGTTACCCGTTACTTCTTTGGAAAAGGAACGAGTATGTTACTACGTTACCAAAGAAAGTAACGCGTTACCGGTAACGCCGTTACTTGTAACACGTTACCGCCAACACTGTGCTGTACTAAGGAAATGCAATTATTGTCTGAAGCAAAAAAAAAAAAAAAACGCAGTTACATTTTTTTTTTTTTTTTTAGAACAGTATAGCGTTTGTAAGAATGAGACAACACAATCTCTAACTTCAACAGTTTAATCCTCAGAAAAGCAAGGGAATAAATACTCTTCATCATCGGGATATTCAACCAACCCCCATGCCACGCCAACGCTGTTATTAGAAAACAAGAAAACATAGAGATAAGACGGTAAGGGAGGATTAAACAGTTGAAGTTAGCGCATTGTGTTGTCTCGTTATTACTCTCGTCTCTGTCTTGAAGCGCCATCATGTTCTCAAAGTTTCAGTACCAACTCCCCCAAGAATCCGCCCCATTACACGTCTCTCCGTTTCTGGTTCATAAAGGTACGTGTGAAAACAAAGAATGAAATCCTTTGCAAGCCAAACGAAGGAGAAAAAAAAAAAAACGATTTTCAGTTTTTTGACCTATCGATCAACTCGTACATGTCTAATGTGAGATTCACATGGCGTGATCTTACTTGCGATTTCGTTGCTGCAACGCCACTCGTAAGGCAAAAAAAAAAAAAAAGCGTGGTGGAAGTTACGGCGTTTAACGTCGCGGGTGCAAAATCGCGAGCAAAAAAGCACCAAGTGAATCTTGCAATTTCGCAGCTGCGAGCGTTGAGCGCCCCAGATTCAGCCTGATTCACATGGTGCGGTCTCGCTCGCGATTTCGCAGTGGCGACGTCGCTCGCGCGGCAGAAACAACGCGTTCTGTGCGTGCGCTGCAGTAGCTCAGTTATTCGGCATTTTTCGCCCGGGTGATATGAGCGCTGGAAAGGGACCATAGTGCAAACGAACTAATAAAAATCAGGCTTTTTTGTGTGTGTGCGTCTGTGTTTGCAGAGTGTCTGGCTCTACTATAGTACCATTGTGGAAAGAGGGTGATTGCTCTCATTCTCTCGTCTGAGGTATTCCTAGTATATCTTTGTATCAAGTTCCTTCTTTTTTTTCTTCTTCTTCTTTTTATATTGTTTTTTGTAAGTGAAATAAAATGTATTAGTGTTTGAGACCGTTCGCGTATGTGTCGTTCTTCGCTTATACCTGCAGTCTCGAGACTGTGTCATGTCACGCGCAGTTACTCAGAGCTGTAGATGTTTGCCAGGCGGCCACCTTTGCTGTCTTCGGCGTCCATCCGAAGCGTATACATGACTACCGCGTGATGCGCGTTGATGACCCCAAGCGTTGTATACGGCACTGGCCACATTTATCATCTGCAGCGTGAGCCAGTGTCGACCTTACGCTGCCTAAACACAAACGTTATATTGGCTTTTTATTTTTTTATTTTTTTTTTTTTGGCTGCGCGCGATTTTTTTTTTATTATTATTTTTTTTTTTTTTTTGCCGCTAAATTTTGTATTGTAACCGAACTATTTTTTTTTTCTTTCAGGAGACAAATTTGCCATGGTGGAGATGAAACTGCTCTTGGCGAAGGTGCTTCGCAAGTTCGAGGTTGAATCTAGAATCCCGCTGGATCAACTCCGACTGACATACGAAATCGTCCTCAAGGACAAAGGCGGCAACAAAGTCTGGCTTCGAAGACGACCCGAGTTCTGCTCGGCTCTCGAAACGGCCGAATCGTAGAACTCGAATGTGCGACAGTTTCACGGATCTCGGGCGAAATTTTGGTGGTCGGCAATTTGCCACAAAATTAATTCAATGCCAAAAAAAAAAAAAAGATCGTGTCTTTTTTAGGGTGTTTTTTTTTACCTGCGAGTTTTACGTGTTGTCACTGTGCTTTCTTTTTCTTTTTTTTTTAGGCTGTTTTTTTTTTTACCTGCGAGTTTTACGTGTGACGTCACTCCAGTGGAATGCGCGGGGAAATCTTAACGTTACTTTTGACATCCTTCTCATTTGCCATTTCTAAATTTGAGATAATTAACAGCGTGCCAAGGAGGAGCGAATCCCGTGTACCCCGGAAATGTGGTCAGTTCGGCTAGCTAAGAACTTTAACTACAGCCTTCAATAACGATACGATTATTTTATCATAAGCCCAAAAAGACATGAGCGCGATTTTTTTTTTTCTTTTTGTTAATGTTTTGTATGCTTTAGTTGATTAAGTCTCGTGTCAGGTATCTGCATCTATGTGCCAGAAGTAACACTGAAGGTTACTCCATTTTCTCGCTTGACAAGAATAGCGTTAAACCCATGAATCGCTTACACTTTTTTTAACGCCTTGTAGGCCTTCCCCGACGAATATTGAACTATTAATTGTGTATTCTAAAATATATATTTAGTATGTTTTAAGAATCATTACTTGTTACCGAGTTTTATTGTCACCTCTTTCGTTAATTACACGAACTTAACTACCTTCATAACCCTCATAGAATGCTGTGTAACGGTATTATTGAGCGGGAGCACAAAATCTGTGCAAAAATAAACATATCCCACCTCTTTTTTACTTTAGCAGAGGGAACGCAGGATACAAGGCGACCTCCTCTCCGGCGTTCGCTCTGCTCAAGTGAAAAGAAAAGGAAGGAGCTTCCACTTCACTCTTAACCTGTCACTGACTATATAAAACATACCCCCCCCCCCCCCCCCCCCCCCCCGGGCACATGGGCCCACTGGCAGACAGGAAACTTTGGGTCAGGGCCACGCAGGAGGCAAGTCCCAATTTTCCTCTGTCCCGCATGTCCCCAGCTGTGTCAGTTAGTTGTACGTCATTCGATTCTCCCTAGATAATTTCCGACTGTCTTCCACTATCCTGTTTGTTATTAAAATGCACTTATTATTCATTCCTCCATTTTCATCAACAAACCCTCTCGCCAAATCCGTCGCCCCCTCCGGGAGGGCGGGAGCAAGCTCTGTGCACCGCAACACCACATGATGTTGTCTCGTCTTCCCCTTGGCATCAACACAGCGCGTATTCATTTCCTCATACTTCGTCGATGTGCAAGTCATCAATACTTTCATTCTAGCCTCGAATAACAACGAGCTCTCCCGTGAATTATCATGCCAATGTTCCTTCCTTAATTATTTACCGTTTTCGTCCCCTGTACATAGCTAAAGCTGAATTCCCCTGCACTCTTGCCTGCTACATTCTTCTCTCGGCTTCTTTAAACTTCCTTTTTCACAGAGGTAAGTCTGCTCTGTCCCAGCACTCGACTGTTGCTATTTGAATTTGTTTTCGGGTTCGGTTTGTCCATTTAGTGTTCAAACTTTTCGTGTATAGATACCTTTCTCACCCATCGCAAATTTCAACTTCCTGATCGCCTCTCTAGCATCGAAAGGTGCCCAGCCCATGTCTCCCTGCACTCCTTCATTTGGTGTTTTCCCATGCGCCCTCAGTGCCAGTCTGCCCACGCTCCTCTGCCGGGTCTTTAAAGGGGCCCTGCAATGACTTTTTGACTGGTTTTAATTTGCACCGAACCTGAGCGCACTGAACGTAGTAACTTAATCAAACTTTTCTTTTCTCAAATTTCGCTTTATATTAAAAGTTATAGGCGAATTAGAATTACAAAAACAAGCAAAAAATAACCTCCCTCATGACGTAGTAGGTCCTGGCTTGAGTGGCCGTGAACTAGAGGAGGGGTAGTGAGCTCATCGAGCGTTCACGGTTGCCGCACTCCGGGTCAACGGCTCGAGAGGGCGCCACTAAAGCATATGTTGGATAGCCTCTATGAAGCGGGCGGCCGGGGCGGCTCGCATTGCATTTGCTGCGCGATTAAAGACTATTTCGGCATAACACTTCATTGGACACAAACGACAGCAAACACGGGGTAAAGATCAGTTCAGAACAAGAGCCACTTCGCGCTGCTATGCCGCCAAATGGCCAAATCGCCAGCAGGGCCCGCGCCGAAGGCCTTCGGAACGCTCGGAACCGGTCGGATCGTTGAGCCAGTATACGACCGCAGCGCCGCCGCGTACATCCGGGGCTTTTCTACGCTGGCCGTTCGTCGTAGCCTCATCCCACTAGTTCTTTCTAGTATGCGCCGTTTTTTCCGCCGCTTGGTGGCGGGTGTGTCGACGGGTCTTTTCTTGTTTCCGTACTTTATAAACTGCATTTGTCTCTTTTCTGATCTAAAATACTGAAAAAAAACTTCTTTCATAAATAATTGAAACGGTTCGCGGCCACTTATATTTTGTATTTCGACTACGAAAAAGCTTTTAGCGGCTCTGACCAGTAGTAAGCCTAGGACCAAACACGTCACATTTTGCGCGCTTTCGGTACCGCGGGTCGCCCTCGTCGGTGGAAGTGGTTTCCGCGTCGTCCGGTTAAAATATGACGCACTGATATTTAGTTACTCTCTCCGTGCCCGCTGGCTTGCCCGGACCCCAAGAGACGTGGAAACCGCAAAAAAGGTAGTTGCTTAAATATGATTGCAGGGCCCCTTTAAGCTCGACTAGACCTCCGATTTCAAGCATTGCCTAAAGATAACCCCGGCACCGTGACTCCTTTCCCTGTTCCCATAACAACTTCATATCTATTGCAATTCGATAGTGTCCTTTCCTTCGTGACTGCTGCATTCTTTTTTTGTTTTTGTTTTTTTGTTTCAAGTATATTTTCTTCCTGTTCAAGTATTGTTTTCCCTCATTCAGTCATACCATACTTCTCTACATGTTCTGTTAAAACATCTTTAATTTTCAGCGGGTTCCTTCTCATCGTTACAAACTACTGCTATAAACCACTACTTCCGACGTGTCGAATCTCCTTGTTCTTCACAGTTCTTAATCAGCTCCTGTAACCTATCCCGGCTGCGTATCTGCTAACAGTGCAATGTTCGTTTCACACGCACTGGCACCGTTCGAGTTCTCTCCCAGAATGTATCGCACTCTCAGAGTGTTGCACGGAAAACTGGACTCAAACGAACTCGCCAAATGCACCGAGTGCAGAAGACTGATGCTGCCGCCATCTATGTTGTAGAAAAGTACCGACTTCAAACCGAAACTAGCGCTTTTCTGATCGGAGTGATGCGTGGGAATGCGAGAATGCAGTCGCTACCAACGTTTATCTACAAACGTTGGTCTTTGCAACCTGTAGTTTATAGTTGCGATGACTTCAAGCAGCTCGGCTGCCGTAGAGATAGTTACAGACGGCGTAAATTTCCGCAACCAGCTGTCTACAAAGCAGCTGGTTCCGATCTTTCAATTCTTATAACCGTTTACACTGAAGAAAACTGATGATGCTGTCCGAGCGCAAGCATGATCCGTTTGAGCATGGTATTATGCGTGAACCACTGAAGGGGTGCGGCTTAAAACTAGCCTGTTGGAATATCCAGCAAAACTGGGACTTTCGATTTGGATGGATCAGATGATCCACCTATAATGCCTCGGTGAGGGCGTCGAGAAAGAGAGCATTCTCGAACAAAATACGACGGGGCAAGTTAGCTGACGTAGGTAAATGTTAAACATGATGATGTTGCCCAATCCTCGGGTAAAGTTACCATCTTTAGCTTTCTCTGATGCTTATTGGGCAGTCAGAGGTTTCTGCTGAGAGAGTTTTGTCGACAAATGTTAAATTTTTCACCCGCACACGGATGGTGATAGATATCTCGGGGGCCGCTTTTACGTTTGTTCTGAGCATTCCTTTACACATTGATATATTTCAGCGTCTGTGCGGCAACAGAGCGATTTAAAACCTGCAAATAAATCACGGGTTGTCAATTGCTTCCTTCGGGAAATAGCAGACGCTCACAATTCAAGCTCGCGTTTGATTTCGTGGCCCGTGGGACGCGCTTTCTATCAGAAAATCTACTTTTTTTTCCGTTCGGTTCCGCGACACATCGTAGCAGACAAACCCTCGTCGTCTGCTCCCGCTCCTCGCCGGCCCCGCCGGAGCGAGGCATGACGGGATTGCATTTTGGCGCACTCCCGATTTTCTCGGTGCAGCGAGTGCATGCACGCGTGGGGTGTCGGCGCTGACGTAAGCGCCAACTACGGGGGGGCAGTGGGGCTCGTGCCCCCCCCGGCCGGCTTCACGGGGGGGGCAGAGCCCCCCCCGGCCCCGGCCCGGGATTTTTTTTAAAGAGCTGGGCTTGGGTCTGCGCCCATCGACAGTGGACTGTTGGCCGTCCTGACTGGCAGCTATTTCACAGGGGCCTGTTTATTCCCGCTTCTTATTTCCTTTCAGGCTTTTAAATGGTGGATCTCGGGACAGTGACAGGTCAGACATTCAGTGGAAAATTCCCCTCAGACGGAGTTAGATGCGCGGAATATGTTGTCTGAATGAACAGCTGAAGTGCCCGCTTCAGCTATGACAGGCTAAAAAAAGTCTTGAAAGCGTCGCGACATCTCTGTCGGTTTTTAGACAACAAAAATGCTTCTGAGAATAGGAAGCATCCCCGACACAGTGCGTCAGTGACTGATTCTGCAGACCTGCTCGCCAAGAAAAAAAATTTTAATTTCTTGCGCGTCTACAAATGAATGCCCTTTCGGCCAAGAAAATATTGTACACATTTTTGATTGGTCAGTGAAGGGCTTTACTACCAGTCTTGTCACCGAACAGCGACTCGAATACTCGTCCAGAAAACAACTTTTGGCGGAAAAATTTGTAACCCCAGCTTCGCACAAGGTATAGTGGTATCAAATGGTCTTTGCTACCGTCTGAGAATTATTTTTGGCCCTCTTAAAATTGAAGTCAGTCGTATAATTAAAGCTTCTTGTGCCACCATTACCCCACTCTCCCCTGCTGCATGTGTTAACAAAATAAACAA